CCAGCCAGCATGCGAGCATTCTCTTTCTGATGAGCAAGCCATGCTGGCTGGGGAATTCTGGGAGTGGAAGCCCACACATCTTCAAGGGACCAAGGCTGAGAAACACTGCTTTAGAGCAGCCCAGCCACTTCTTCCCCCAACCAGCTCTGAAGCCCAGCTGACGGAGCCCAAGCAAGTCATTCGCTCTCGGCAGGCGTTTGCTCACCTCCCAGGGGGCTGAATTCGTGGCCAGGGTGGCGGCTCACGTGCTGCTGAGGGGATGAGGGCAGGGAGGTGTGAAGACGTGGCGCCGCACATGGTGGCGCCATGCATAGGCTGCCGAGATGATGCAGCACTAGGTGGCGTCGCTGACTTCCAAAAGGAAAGCCATCTCGCTTATTACCCAAAATGTTAAGAGGTCTCTGAATCCCCCCATACCATATAAGATCTAAGATTGTGGCCATATTACCTTTCAAAGCCCTTCTTTTTTTTTCTTTTTAAAATATTTCAGCACTTTCTAATGTTTTAAGGGGAAACTCCACCCAGCCCCTCATCTAAGCAGCTCGCTGGTTCCCTGCTCTGGCCGTTGGGTGGGGAAAGGCCGCTGCGTACGAGCTCTTTCCTTGAAGGGTCTGGCCTGGGGTTTGCCCAGTTTGTGAAGGTGAAAGCGAAGGAGACCCTGATGGCGACCGGAGCATCCCTTTCGCCCGGGCAGCCCGATCCTCCTGCTGGGGCGGTGAGGGCTGGGCGAGGGTGGCCTCTGGAGACCACCTTCCTGGTCTCGTCCCAGGCAGCCTCCTGCGGGAGATCAACGTTTCCAGGGTGGGGGTGGAGGTAGCCTTTTGCAAGCCCAGAAACAAATGAAACCAACCATCGTTTTGCTTGGGAGAAGAATTCAAAAGCTTCCCTGGTGGTGGGGGGTTGCTTTTCTTCGTGTTTCTGCCCAGGTCTCCCCACCTCTTCTTTCCCCCGTCACGCTGGCTCTATTCAGGGACAAGGACGGTCTCCCTGCATCTGCAGCGCTGCTCCGGGGCAGTTTTCGGGGGGCGGCAGAGCCTCTCCTCCGTGTCCAGCAGCGGCCCAGACGGGGGACACCTGAGGCCTGAGCACTTCCCGGTGGGAGAAGGAGGCGGCTGCGGGTGAGCACCTGGGAGCCTGGCAGCCCCGCTGGCGGCTCTCTAAACCCCACCGCTGAGGGCAGTTTGCGGCCAGTGCCCCCAGAGACCCCAGGGCCCTGCCTCCTTCCTCCTGCACGGTGCACAGGAACCTCTTCCTCTCTCCTCCCTGCGTCCTCCTCCTTCTAGGCTTTGAATCACCTTGTTTTCTGACCTCCCCCTGCTGGTGCCCTCCAGATACCCTGGACTACAACTCCCATGCCTGGCCAGTAATTATAGTGTTCCAAAACACACACTGCACTGAGCTTCTTTAAACCAGCTTTGCTTGAACAAGCCAGTTTGCTGGATTCACACAACACCTTGAGCCGTAATCCATGTTTCACAAACCATAAAGACTCAGTTCACATGCCATGCGAAGCCACCACCGAACAGAATCCCTTCTTCTGTCCACCCAGCAGACACACAGCTGGATTCGACCAAGATCCTTGACAGGTCAGCAAAAGCTTGGCAGCTGCCTTCACAAAGCCAGTGAAATTTCCTAATTTTTAACCTCAATTAGCTATTTTTGTTTTGCAAACGCAGCTCTGTTTGACCAACATCTAGTCTGTGAATCTAAACTTAGCAACCAAATGAAGTTGCTGTGGGAACACAGCCACAGCCTTCTCCCAAACAAGAGATGTCTTTATGCAACAGGGAAAACACTCCAGTTGTTCCAGTGGAATTCTGCGTGAGTCAGAAATGTGACGCCTTTGGAAAGTCCCTGGAATCCATGGATTATGAACAGGGAAAGGGGGCCAACAGGCAACGGATGAAACGAGAACCAAGGGAAGGCAAGCGGTCGAGTTCCCCAGCTGGTCGGAAGGCAGAGGAGGCAGTGGCTGAGAGAGGCAGAGTGTGCTGCTTTGAATGGCCTCCCTCATCCCCATCGATCGAGATTGGGGGGCAGCGCCGCTCAGGCTTTGGCCCCATATCTGCCCCTTGGGACTGCAACAGAAAACTTTCCCATCTGGTGACCTCTTAGCGGTGAGCGACGGCCCTCAATTCCCTGGGC